GTGTAGATTGATGTGGAAAAAAAGTAATTTAAAGCAGTTTAACATAAGGCTGCAACATAACAAAACGTGAAATAGGGGTATGAATACTTTCGCAAGGCACTGTATATATATATATATGCATTTGTTATACTTCAACAAATAAAGAGTCTTACCTTGCTTGTCTCCAGTGGTCGCATGATGGACACTCTGTCATACCCTTTCTTCAGAAGTACCCACAATGCATCCAGTTTTCCCTGTGCATCAGCACACACACAAACACACACCCCAAAAACACAAAAATTAATATTGAAAAAGCAAGCAGATGTGTATGTGTATACAAACCAGTGGTCAAAATCGGTTCCTGGAGGGCCACTGTCCTGCAGAGTTTAGCTCCAACTCTAATCAAACACACCTGAACCAGCTAATCAAGCTCTCCAGACGCACTAGAATCTTCCAGGAAAGTGTGTTGGAGCTGGTTGGATCTTAACTCTGCAGAACACTGGCCCTCCAGGAGCAGGATTGGACACCCCTGTATAAACTGTCTGTTTTCTGTACGATTCAAGTCTTTATTGCGTCTTCATTGACCCTCAGGTCTTTAATAACTTGCTCCTCATATTGTTCAGTCACCAAACTCTGAGAAATGGGTTATATGAACAAAGAGATTTCCTGAACCCGACACCCCACATGTGGCCTCTCTGGCTCACTATCAAATGAGACGGATAAATCTCAAAGCCACAGTTTAGAATGAAGCAATCCTTTGCTATCTGCCCCACGGTTATTAATATACAACAGCATTCTGATGTCCCTCAGCCTCGATCCAACTTCCTAATAAAGACAACCGACCCTCATTGCACAAGAAATGAACAGAGAAAATTAATGAGGGAAGGAAAGCACAGAAGGACATCTTGGACGATTTAAATGTAAAGTTGGGTCACAAAAAGTGGCACATACTGGTCACATTGCCTCTCTCCAAATATAAAACAACGCAGACACACATAGAATACAGAGATGAACAAATAAAGGAGGGGGAAAATTTTTTAAGGAAAGATAAACAGACTAAAAGAATGAACAACAGGGGGGAGAAAAGCTTTGGCAATGATCTTAGCTCTTGGATGGCGAGATCTATTAGAATGAGTGAGCGGAGAGAGGTGAAATGAGGGAAACCTGGTTTTGAGTGTAATAAAGTGCTGACTCTGCAGGCATAGTTTCTTGGAGGTCACCACAGTTTCTGGTCTGTTTTATGAATCCCCAAGCTGATTCATAGATGCTTGATTATAAGCATTGACATCTCAAGTCAGGTTTTTACACATATTAAATCAGCAGGAGAACTGCATGGTGGGAGGCTGCTCATGTTTAACTGTCAACAGAATTAGTCTCATCTATAGTCTTAAGCTGCGTCAGAGGCTGCTTCCTTCAAAGGCGAAATTACTAGACTGATTGCACAGAGGTGCAACGAAGGCTGTCCCAATTTGAAGGCTCTTTTAAAAGTGGCCTCTAAATGCATCCTTCAAAGTCTGCTTCCTTCTAAGGATGCAGCCCCTGAATTGGGAACCACAGCTTTAGTGTTCTACTCAATGGAACACAAACAAAATATTTTAGATTTTAAAATTTTTAAACTTTTTTTCAAATGCATCCTTCAAAGTCTGCTTCCTTCTAAGGATGCAGCCCCTGAATTGGGAACCACAGCTTTAGTGTTCTACTCAATGGAACACAAACAAAATATTTTAGATTTTAAAATTTTTAAACTTTTTTTCAAATGCATCCTTCAAAGTCTGCTTCCTTCTAAGGATGCAGCCCCTGAATTGGGAACCACAGCTTTAGTGTTCTACTCAATGGAACACAAACAAAATATTTTAGATTTTAAAATTTTTAAACTTTTTTTCTTTTTCTTTTAATGTTGTACAATGTTGGGTGGACCCCAATGTTCTTCAAAATATAATTTTTGTGTTTTACAAACTGTTACCCATAACAAAGGCTGCATTTAAACTGCAGGTCTTGAAGCCCAATTCTGATTTGTAGTCTATATCCGATTTTTCCGAAGACCCATATCCGATATCTGCATTTACACTATACACTTGGCAAAACAACCCAGGGTAGACGTACTGACAGGTTTCCAGGTCTGTGAAACAAAACCCGCCCAATTGCTATTCAAAACTAGTCCAGTCGGGTATTTTTGTGGTTTTTCCCTCCGGTGGGGGTCCTCCTGAAAAAGCTGGTGGGGGGCGGGGGGTCACTTTACACTACAGACTTAAAAAACAATCCATGGCAACAGTGTAAAAGTACCTCAATTCTGCAGGAAAACCACAGACAGAATAAGAATAAGACAGAACTTGTGTTTTACAAGTACTAATCAACAGCCAATAGGCATGCTAATAAGCAACTAGTTAATAGTGAGAAATGGTCCTTAAACTAAAGTGTTATTGAGTTTTAGTTAACTTGTACCCGAATACACTATTGTTCTTCTCACCTTAATGGGCGAGTACCATTTACGTGGGCCTGGAGGTTTCCGCATGCCATTATTTAGGATGCGAGCAGGAGGAGCTTCAAACTCTTGCTCAGGCATCTTCACCCTCGCGTTCTTCGCCTTCTCCAGTTTAGCACCCTCCTCGGTTGAACCTCTCTCACCCCAGCGAACCTGAAATGAAGGAGACGGCTATCGTCATTTTATCCAGCATGACTTGACATTGATCCAAAGAGCTTCAATGGAAGCAAGCACATCTGTCCCTCTGTATAAAAAAAAGTGCACATGAATTTTACTCCAAAACCTTTCCTCATTTTTACATCATAACCTTCCTGTTATCAACATTTCAAAATCCTTTCCAGGTACAAATGGGGAGGGGGTCAACTCAGTAGTATAAAAACTGTGAATCATGACAAAGAATGCGTATTTTATGTTGTTTTCTCAAATAGAAATATTTCTAGACAGGTATTTTCGAGACTGCAAAGTCTGCACTGCTGGTAATTGAGGCAGAATGTTTGACCGAAGGAAGGATTCCAAACAGCAGATGAGCTGTATAATGCACACACACACACACAC